GGACGCATGCGGGCGGTCGCACTGGGCCTTCGGTGGAGCTCCCTATGGGCCACGAAACGTGTGAGGGGTGTGCCGAAATGGGTGTGCGGTGCGACTAGCCCGGGTGTGAGTTGGACGCAATAGGTGTGCCTGAAGCTCCCTATGGGGCCACGAAACGTGTGAGGGGTGCGCCGAAATGGGTGTGCGGGACGCATGCGGGCGGTCGCACTTGGGCCTTCGGTGGAGCTCCCTATGGGGCCACGAAACGTGTGAGGGGTGTGCCGAAATGGGTGTGCGGGACGCATGCGGGCGGCGCACTGGGGCCTTCGGTGGAGCTCCCTGTGGGGCCACGAAACGTGTGAGGGGTGTGCCGAAATGGGTGTGCGGGACGCATGCGGACGGCAGCACTGGGGCCTTCGGTGGAGCTCCCTATGGGGCCACGAAACGTGTGAGGGGTGTGCCGAAATGGGTGTGCGGGACGCATGCGGGCGGCGCACTTGGGCCTTCGGTGGAGCTCCCTATGGGGCCACGAAGCGTGTGAGGGGTGTGGGTGTGCGGGACGCATGCGGATGGGGCCTTCGGTGGAGCTCCCTGTGGGGCCACGAAACGTGTGAGGGGTGTGCCGAAATGGGTGTGCGGGACGCATGCGGGGCGCACTTGGGCCTTCGGTGGGGCTCCCTATGGGGCCACGAAACGTGTGAGGGGTGTGCCGAAATGGGTGTGCGGGACGCATGCGGGCGGTCGCACTTGGGCCTTCGGTGGAGCTCCCTATGGGGACACGAAACGTGTGAGGGGTCTGCCGAAATGGGTGTGCGGGACGCATGCGGGCGGTCGCACTTGGGCCTTCGGTGGAGCTCCCTATGGGGCCACGAAGCGTGTGAGGGGTGTGCCGAAATGGGTGTGCGGGACGCATGCGGGCGGTCGCACTTGGGCCTTCGGTGGAGCTCCCTATGTGGCCACGAACGTGTGAGGGGTGTGCAGAATGGGTGATGACGACGACGACGACGATGATGATGACGATGATGACGATGACGATGACGATGATGATGGTGTTGATGATGATGAGAGCAGGAGGGAGGAGGGGGAGGAGGAGGAAGGAGGAACGCGGGGCACCGTCTCTTCGAAACGAGGACCCATAACCACAGGACGGTTGGGAACAAGTCAATGGTAAACCCAACATGTCAGCGTGAATGTGCGCTCGGGATGGCGGGGGGGCAGGAGCCAATGGGATAAGGCTTGTTGCCCGTCACTTTCTTTTTGCCATGCTTTACAACTTCAGTCGTAAGCTTGGCTGCCCCACGGACCTGGTCAGCCTTCTTCGCCTGCAGCCTTGGGCGCGGCTTGGCCTTCGGTGCTGCAGACCTCTCTGAAGCTGGCGCGCCTCCGAAGGCAATCTCCGGCAGCCATGGCGCTGTCCCAACCAAGATTGTATCTTTGCAGCTGGGGTGGCCGTACGAGCCGTACTGCGCCCACGCAGTCGTGCTCAGATACGTCCCACGACGTCCGCGGAGACCTAGCAAACGCTCATCGTCGCATCGCCGGCCATTTTCCTAGAGGAGCCCAGGTCGACGAAGGGGCGTGAATCGATCGAATCGCTGACGACGCCCAGAGGACATCCCATGGCGAGATCTGGCGGTATCAAAGCCGCCGACGATGGAGGACCCGCCGCTTGCAAGCGCAAGCATCAACTGGTTCTGCAGGAACCGCTCGCGTCCTCAGGCGCACGCGGTGCGAAGGAGCACAATGCGCGCCTGCGCCGACCTTGCGCAGGCCGACCCAGATGCTCTAACCTGCCCGTGGTCTACGGGGGGGAGGAGGAGAAGGGGGCGAGGAAGGGATGGGTGGAGCAGGGCTCAGGAGCGTTATTGCCTTCACGGAAGTAAGAGGACACCTCCAACAATGCACTCCGATTTATTATTCGGATAGAAGCGTGTGTTTGCTTTGCCATGTCCTGTCGTCTTCAAGAGCGCCAAGTAGTCGACGCCCTGTTCAATCTGCACCTGCAGGAGCTGCGCCTGCTGCAGCATCTGCGGCACCACGGCCGCCGCGGCTGCCATGTCGGCGCGTTGCGGGTGGCGGGCGACAGGGGCCTGGACGTCGCCTTCAGCCAGATGCGGCTGGGGGAGGGGCCCCGTGAAGTGATGCCCCAGAGCTGCCGCTACGAATGCTTGACCCTTGGGCGCGACATGAAACCGCTGGGCGAGGATGCAAAGGTGCGGCCCAATATGCTTTTCGATCCGTCCATGGGTTGGGCTCGCGGCTTTTCCTGCTCGGTGATATGACCCTGCTGTCGTTGCATGATAGCATATGGAGTGTAGTCGGAACTGGGCGGCCCTGGCACCCGAGAGGGCGCGAGGCCATGCCGATTGCATTCATTGTCCTGGACAGAAGAATCAACTGAAAGGCACGCGCTGTGTGGGACGCGGCGCAGACAAGACGCCAGAGCGCCCTTGATTTAGCAGAGTCGACCTACCACGAGTCATGACTGCACGCGATTGCGTGGCGGTGGTGCGACGACTGGTTTAACTGGCCATGCGCTGCGCGACGATAAGCCTCGGAAACAATCGAGCACGTGGATATGCCGCGTCATCTGGCGGCGCCAATCTCAGCGACGGCATGCTGCTATGACACTGGTAATGTGATGAATGGAATGTGTGATGGCGCGGTGGCGGCGGGCAGCCTGGGCTCGCATGCACTGCGACGAGCGCGGGTTCCACGGCCCGCTTGCATTTTTATTTTGTTCAAACCGCTGGTTGGAGAAACGCGCAGTCGAGAGCGCCCCTGGCAAAATCATCGCGCAGTGCGGGCGCACTAGCAACGTCTACCATGCACTGCTGAACGCGGGCGCCACGTCGACGCGACCACACGGCGACGCCGTTCTTCCCAGACAGCACGCGCGATGAGCGGAATCAAAGCCCGATCACCCCATGGACCTACTTTCGCTCGAGCTCTCTTCTAGCTCGGCATGCGCTCGGTCGCTGCGTCGGTGAACAAGTGAACTGGACACACTGCTTGAGAAAGGCAAGAAGAGGGAGAGAGGAAGAGTGAGGGACGGAGCGGCATGGAGAAATTCAGAGAAATATAGAAGGAGAGAAAGAGGGAGAGAGAGAGAGAGGGAGAGGGAGAGAGAAGGATATATGGGAGAAGGAGGGAGAGAAATATATACAACATGCAAATGATGCGTGTCACTCAGCGGCGCGGCGCCCGATGGCCGAACGTCGGGCCGACGCGCACGCGGTGGTTGCTGCACGCCCTCCGTCTCGGTTGAGCGAGTTCCGAGGCTGACTCGCCGATCGGGTACCTAGTACCGCGGCGATTTTGTATGCTGACGGGCAGATCGAATATCGACTGAAAAATCAGCATGCCGACGATTCACTACCAACCGCGGTCTGATCCATCTGCCCGTGTCCTGCGATGATCGGTTGTCACCGACGAAGCCAGATCAGCGACGTCGGCGGCCCGAGGCGCCCGCGTCGAAGACAATGGAGCGATGGCGGGGCAGGCCAAGAGATGCCTGCACGACCCTCTCCATGTGGGCCCAAGTCGTCGACCACGGAATGTCTGCATGCTCGAACCAGTTCGGCACGTCGTGGGACCCCGTCGCCACGACGCAGGTGCGATCCTGAGTGTTCGCATCAACGCACCATCGCATCGACCCTCTTCCCCTTCCACACCCAACAACATTCGGCAATCGGAAAAGCGATCAGAGCGATCGCGCGACCTGTTGGACTATCGATCGAACACTGAACGCCCGAATCGTTGGAGCAGGGGCGCGGGCGCGATCGTTGTGTGTCTGGCAAACCACGAACACCTCGAGGCACATGTACGGGCGGACGATCATCGGGCGCTGCCCAGGCTCGGTCGAAAGCCACACTGGGCCAGCGAAACCCGGCGCATTGAACTCGAAGGCAGTCATGCGGTACTCGTAGAACATGGGCCACGCGCGCACGAGGAAGCGGCCCTGTAGAGAGGCAAAGCGGAAGGCGACATAATATGTTTCAATTGTTTTCTAAAGGCGCCAGTGTCACCCATGTTTTGATTTACGAGGAACGAGGCAGAGAAGCGGGCAATGGACAACTTATGCATTGTATGGCTTCTGTCCTCGCCAGCCAGCAGGCGCTGAGACTGGGAGTGGCTGACATTGCGCCAGGCGCCATCTGCTGGCACGACAGCGCCAGGAGCGACGTCCTGCAGGAACGCGTACTCGAACGCCATCGACGCGGGCGACGGCCTGGGACGATCAGCGCTGCAAGCAACGGCTCGGCCCCAACAGCTGCGGCACGCGGCAGCTCGGTTTGAAGCGGGGGCAAGCAGCCAACCACTCGGCGGGCCATGCGCGGGGCACAGCGGCGCGACGAGACACGATGGTCAATGAAAGAATGCTTTTTGTTCAACAAGCCATGGCGTTATGCTCGCTCTCGCAAATGATCTCATGTCCCTCAGCCACGCGGCGGCTGTGCTGATGGCGCGCGAGCGCGCGAATGGCAGTGGCGAGTATACAGGCGCCGCGCAGCGGCAGCAGGCTCACTTTCGCATGGGCTCTCTACTAGCCCCGCCTTCGCCGAGCCCAAGCTGCCGATCAGTGCTGCAATCGACGCCGCGCGCGCTGCGCGCGGGCTTAAACTTCCCGTCACGCGCGGCAGATGCGTTGTATGTAATCGAGAAAAACAACGCCAACGCAGGCTTACTTTCGCGTGGGCTTTCATATAGCCCCGCATGCGCTCAGCCCATCGCCAGCGCCCCCCCCCCGAAACGGAAGAATGCCAATGAGAAGGTTGTCACCGCGGCGAAAGCACCCGCAGCTTCTTCAACCGAAATCTCAACGCGCGCATGTTCCTCTCCTTTCATCCTCCTTTCTGTATGCACATCTACGTGCGCACCGCGCGCATTCCGCAGCACTCCTCTGTCGGCCAATTCTCCCTCCCCTCATCGCTTAGCCTTTCCCCGTCGACTATAGCCTCAACACCCGTCCCCCTCGCCGCTCTCGGAGTGGCGCTTGCGCCGCCGCGCGGGCTGCTTCCTCAGCGATTGCCTGCCCCCGCGAGTGCGGGCCGCCAGAAATCCGGCGAATTCATGGATGCACCCTCTTGCACGAGCACGCACGCAATGCCGTTGCGCAGGCCGAGGAGCTTGCAGCCAATCTCGCGCGGCATGATCATGGAGCACGGGCCATTGTTCCACATCGCGATGCCGCCCAGGAGGCGGATGTGCGAGAAATGAAAACTGTGGAGCAAAATGTACTCGCCATTCGGAAAAGCAGCAGAGGCGACGCGCAGCTTCATTGAGCAATCTGCCAGCGCGTCATTGGCGTCCTCCAGAGTGAAGGGGCCATCGCGGGAGATCTCGACCTCCATGCCGAGACCGCTCAGCGCGCACGACAATGCCTCTGCCAGGCAGGCGCTATGGTACGGGTGAGCAGCGATGAAGTGCTCGGCGTTCATATTGCGCTGAAAATAATGCATGTGCGGGTCGGGCGCGCCAGCGAGGAGCAGGAGGCCCGCCATGTACACCTTCGAGGCCATCGGCTCACCCAGGTACCCGCGCTCGTGCAGCTGCACGTAGACATGGCCCCTCACGCGCGGCGGCAACATCATGAGTAGCGATTCGCAACCGCCGTCACCCAGCATGCGCATGTTGGAGACCTGCGTGCGCCATACCCACGTCGCAAAGCCGTCCTCCAGCATGAAATTCGTCATCTGGGTGCCGTCGGCGCCGATGGGCATGTAGCGCTCGCAGTGCGTGCCCACCTCCACCACGTATCCGCACATCGCCCCAGGCCAATCAGCGGGCTCGGCCAACAGGACACGCGGCGCGCTGCGCGCGCCGCCGAGACTGGACAGGTGGACCGCCGCCGCGCCGACAGCGGAGGTCGCCGCTGCCCCCCTTGGATCGCTGGCCGCACCCGCGCCAGACGGGCCGCTGGCGTTGCCGCTGTTCTGCAAGCGCACCCCATCCACCCCATCATCCCGCATGATCTCCTCCACCGCGTTCTGCAAGACGTCGTCGATTCTCTGGGCGCTCCGATGTTTCTTCGGCGTGGGCGAGGATGACAGTAGCTCGATCTCGCGCGCCCTCGGAGGCTTCAGGCGATCGCCAAAGCTGCGGCCGTGCCTCATCAATCCGCCCTGAGTCGGCGGCGGCGACGACGGGGGCTCTCCCTTCACGCCCGAGAGAATCGTCGCTGGCGCCGGCGGAGCTGCAGCACCGGCTTTCACCACCTGGGCGAGATTGCCTTTGACCCCGCCGCGCAGGCGAACCACCCCGCCAGTGACCGTTGCGACGGTCATGCCAGTCACCTCGTCGCCGACACGCAGAGCGTCTCCGTGAGAGAGTCGCCCCTCGTCGTCGCTGTCGTGGATCCTGATGAAGAAAAGGCCGTCGACGCGGATGACCACGCCGTCCACGGTGTCGTGCTGGATCACGTTGCGCCAGCCTGCGTGCGCGCGCGCAGCCTGGAGCATGGGGCCGCGCGTCGACGCGGCCGCGGCCGCCACTGAACCGTCGGCGTCCGCTGCCGCCTCCGCGATCTCAACGCTGCCGTCCATGCCGCCGCCGAGGCCGAATACATCGGGCTCCGAGTCGCCATCGCGTCCGCCCGTGCCTTCGCGGCCGACTGGCGCTACGTGCGCGGACGGCGCTGCGCTGTTCCCGTCCTCCTCGACGTGCCCCATCAAGCGTTTGACCTCGCGCTTCTCGAACGACAGCAAGCGGTCGAATTCCTCCTGGTCGCGACGGTTGTTGTCGTTCTTGAGGAACTCGCGCAGGGCAGTCCCCGCGGAGGAGAGGATGTAGCCGTCGAGAAGCGGCAGCTTCTGCACGGCCTCGCTCACGCCCGCGGGGCGGAAGAACACATATGTCCGCGTGTTCAGAGCGATGTTGCACCGCTTCAGCATGGCGCCAACGTTCGACATCGAGATGTTCGGTGGGAGCGCGGGCTTGATCATGCTGAGCAGGTGCTTGGTCGTCTCCGCCTTGGGGTCCAAGCTGTGCGTGGCCAGGGCCCAGTCGCGCACGGATGGCTCCGCGTCGGCGTCATACTCGTTGTCACCTCCGAATCGCGCCTGGCCGCGCACAAACTTGGTGGCTCCCCAGCGGACATAAGTCATAGCCTCCGCCTGCGACGGGTCAAAGAACGACTTCAGGACGCGCGGGCGCTGGTCCTGCGGCGACAGCGAAGCCGCGTCGGGAATGCGCGGCGAATGATTTCTACCAGAGCAGTATGTGAAAATTCTATTCACAAAATGCAAAAATGTGAAAAAATGTCGCCGCGCATTTGACGACGCGCCCTCGATGTCCCCCGAGTCACCGTCGTCGAAAATGCAGGGCACCCACTTCTGGCCGACCTCGCCCCTGAAGAAGTCCATCTCAGGAGACGTGCGGACCGCTGCAAGGTCACCCTTGCCCGCGGCGTCAGCGTGGAAGCGAGCCACTGCCATCGCCAGGATCGTCATCAGCGGCGTTTTCCCGAACCTCGCCTCCCCGATGCACAGGAGGGTGTTCACCGTGAGAGTTGGCAGAATTTGGCGAACCTACGGGGAAATCATCTATACACCACCATTTCGTTGTGCGCAAACCAAGACTAAATCGCGTGGTTTGGTCCTGGTCACCACACGCATGGTGTCGCCACAACAACTCCTACGATGTATATGCAAACGTCTTAAGTGTTTGTCGTATACTACAACATCCTGGAGGTGTATAGAATAATTCCGCAAAGAACCATCTCCATGTATTCTGGCCGAATATCGCCGAGCAGACATGGGTAGTACGTCTGCGTGACGGCGAAGTTGTCGCGCTCGGAGATCTTGCGCAGCACTTTGTCGATCAGCTCCCGCTTGAAAGCGTAGACGGGGCTGCTCGGGTCGACCATCTGGTGCTCGACCCACAAGAGCTGCTCGCAGTCAAAATTCCCGCGGGGATCCTCATCCTTGATGAATTGGAAGCCAGCGGTGAGGATGCGCTTCCTCTCGCTGACCTCATCCTCGCCGGGGGGAGCGGCCGCGGCGGCGGGCTCTTCGAACTGCCAGTACTTCCATATGAGGCCGCCCAACTTCTCGAGCATCAACTGGAGCGTCTTGACCGTCGTGTATCGGTCGGGCCGCCAGTCCACGACGTGGAAGTGGCCGACGATCATGTCGGCCTGTACGGTGGAATACTTCTCTGGTTGCAAGAACTGCAAGAACTTGACGATCAGCCACTTCCCGTCCGCTTCCTAGTCAGATTAAAACTCGCTCCGAAGCAACCCGCGCCAGGCCTCCCCGACTGCGAACCCTGTCCGAGCGGTGGATGCGTGGCGCGGATGGCGGGGAGTTGTTTTAATCGACGGCATCCTTCTCCACAACAATGTTCATGGTCACGGGGATCTCGCTCGGGCTCGGGAACCCAAGTGGCATTGGCAAATCTTTCTAACTCCCCTTGTTCATGATGTCTTTAATAACATCCCAGTCGGCGTTTGTGAGGTCGTCTTTGTCCCACTGCACCACGTCGACAGCCGTGCTCGTGGTCTTGTTCTTGATAAGCCTGGCGGCGGGCGCGGGCGGACAATCTAAAGCGGATGTCGCTTCATGGGCTGAGGTTCTTTTCAGTGCAGATAACCGCCAAACAGAATGCCGAGACGCAAGAGCTTTTGAAGGCGAGGGTGCTTGTGACAATTTCCTGTTGTCGATCGGTGCCCAAAGGTGCGGGCAGATAGGGATTGGCGCGAAAAAACGGAGGCGGGCGGGCACTTTCCGCAATGTCTCGTGGTTCTTGTTTCGGAAAGCAGAACTTGCTGTGCCCTAAAGACGTGCCCATAAGTCAGGTCAGCAGCTATGGGCGCGGAACGAAAACAAACCAACGCTTCATATTATATGTCAAGCCGTTTTGGAGCAGCAATATCATGCCCTGCGCTTCGTTCGCGGCGGAGCGCCATTCTATCGTGCGATGGCTGATTGTGTTTCGCATGGCATGAAATACAACAATGGCTTAACGAGACAAAATAAAAAGCATGAGTGGGTGGCCTGGGATCCAGCTGCTTGATGGGGAGGCCCAGCACGTCGACGGTCCCCTCGGACTCGGGAGCGCCCGCAGGCAGGCACGGCTTGTCCAACACTGTGGGCTTCTTTTTGCTTGCAGCGGTGTACCAGTAATCAATCAACTTGTCGTTGCTGTAGTTCTCGCGGTCCAAGTGGCAGCCGAGGCACTTGGTGCCCTGGCCGCGAACGTTCGCCATGGGCCGCTCGCAGACTTCGAAGAATGGCCCTCAGACGAAAGTGCCAAATAACCTTTAGCAGCGCGTCGGCCTGATCTCAAACGGCAGCGCGCGATGGTGGCGCAACGATATGGCGGGTCTGTGGCGGTGCAATCAAACAGCGACAGTTCGTTCGGAACTCCGAATAGGAAAGCCAGACAGGTCGCGCGCTTATCAACGCTAGACAACAGCGCGCAGCGGCGACGCGACGCGGGGACAGACGGGCTTGCACGTCGGCAACCAAATACGCGCTGCGATGACGCAGCATAGCTAACGTCCAGTGCCGTGAAACGGCACTGGACGATGAACGGTGGTTAAATTTCGGGTGGCATTGGGCTGGTGCGCATTTTCACTCTCACGCTCTCGCTCTCGCAGTCAGCAAGTGACATGCTGGCAATGGACGCAGTTACGTGATCCACGTGGCAACGGGATCGCAATCATATGCATTCCGAAACAAGAGGACGGCGGGGCAGCGTTCAAGAAGAAAGATGCGGCAACGGACAATGCGAGAATGCACGCGCTGGCGCGCAATGCACGGCTGCAGGGGTGTAAGTCCGAACATTGGCGTCCTCCGTCGAAGAACGCCCGCATCTCGTCAGCCATGTCCTGGCCGCGCGCGGCGATGCATACAGTCAGCGAACCGTTCCGCGAATTATGTGCGCTCGCACGCTCCATGTGCGTGCTGGTGTCACATGCGCGCCGAATGCGCTCGCAAACAATGCATGCTAGCACGCTGCATACCAGAGCTTCTGCTTGGTGAACATGCTCCACCGAGGCATGTTCCTCGCTGCCGCTCCAACCCCGCGCTAACGTTGCTTTTTCATCGGGCCACATTCGTCATTGCGCATGCCAGTGAAAGCACGGCGTCATCGCGGCGTGCACGCCGCGTGCACGCGGCGTGCACGCCGCGCACATGTGAACAAGGCGCGCAGGCGGTGTGCGCGCGGTGCGCACGGATCGCATAGGGGGCGCAGAGGGCGCGCACGCGGCGTGCGCACGCCAAACCCAACGCCAAAAGCATGCCAGAACCAAAAACCAAAACCACACACAAAAACAAACAAACCAAAACCAAAACCAAAAACCAAAAACCAAAACCAAAACCAAAACCAAAAACCAAAACCAAAAACCAAAACCAAACCAAAAACCAAAACCAAAGACCAAAACCCGAAACCACAACAAAAACCACAAACCCAAACCAACACAAAAACCATAGCAAAACACTAAAACCAAAAACTCGTTTCAACATCAAAACCAAAAATATGAACCGAAACTGAATACTGCATCCAAATGCAAAAATATTTTACATTAAAAACAACCAAAACCAAAACCAAAACCAAAACCAAACCCGTAAACGAGCATCAAAACCAGCATCACAACCAACAGCCAACATCAAATCCAAAAACCAAACAAAAAACAACAATTGCCAAAACCAAAAACCAAACTCACTACCAGCACCAAAACCATTACCATAACTAAAACCAAAAACCAAAACCAGAACATCCACCCCCCAAACAAAAAAGCAAACAAACAAACACATAAACAAACAACGAAAACCAAAAACCAGACACCAACGCGATAACCAACAACAAAAAAGCAAGAACCACAACCAACAACCAAAACTAAAACCAACATCAACAGACACCACAACATCAAAAACAAACCCAAAAACAAAGAACCAACAACCGACAGCAAAACATCAAACCTAAGCCAAAACCTGGAACCACGCCCAAAACCAAAAAAAAACAATACGAACACCAAAAAAAACAAGGCAGCAACACAAAACCAAACACAAACACAAACAACAACAACATCAAAAACCCAAAACACAACCAAAACCGACAACAAGTAAACAAACTCACACTCAGAATTCACAAAACCAAATCCCCCATCAAAAAAAACGGTAAGCATTTTTTTTATATAAAAAAAAAAAAAAAAAAAAACATCTATAACCAAACGCCGAAACCAAAACCGCAGCCAAGAACCAAAACCAAAACCAAAAAACAAAAACCATAACAAACAAAAACACACCCAACACAAAAAAACACCCCCCCCCAGAAAAAAATTGAACCGCAACCAAAAACTCAAACCAACATCAAAACCAAAATTTTGAACCGAAGCCACAAACCGAAACCAAACACCAACAACTAAAAACAAAAAAGGAATGAAGAAAATAATGATATTCAAAACCAAAACCATAATCAAACGCTTAAACCAACATCGGGACCAGCAGCACAACCAACAACTAACACAAAAACCAAAACCAGAACCAAAAACCAAAACCAAACACCCATCACCACAACCAAAAAACCAAAACCATTACCGAAACCAAAACCGTCACCAAAACGAAAACCAAAAACCAAAAGCAAGAACCAAACAACAAACCATAGCCAAACGCGGAAAATCAAGAAACACCTACAAATGATAACCAAAAACCAAAACTAAAACCATAACCAAAAACCAAAAACCAAAACCAAAACAAAAAACAACAACAGGTAAACAAAACGAACAAGCAGAAGCGAGAAAACCAATCCCCCCCCCCAAAAAAAAAACGAATAACAAAACAAACAAAACTATAATCAACAACGAAAACCAAAACCGCAATTCAAAACCAAAAACAGAACCAAAAACCAAAACCAAACGCCGGAACAAACACCCAAAACCAAAAACCAGAACCAAAACCAAAAACTAGAACCAAAATCAAAACAGAAAATTTGAACCGAAACCAAAAACCGAAACCAAACACAAAAAAAGCAACAACCAAAACCATAATCAAACGCTTAAACCAATATCGAAACCAGCAGCACAACCAAAAACTAACACCAAAACAAAAAAAACACAACCAAAACCAAAACAACAAAACCAAACGCCAAAAACCAAAACCAAAAAAACAAAACCATTACCAAAACCAAAACCGTTACCGGAACTGAAACCAAAAACCAAAAACCAAAAACCAGAAACCAACAAAAAACAAAACCATAGCCCAACGCGGAAAACCAAAAACCAAACACCAGCGAAATAACTAGAAACCAAAACAAAATCCAAAACCAAAAACCAAAAACCATAACCAAGACCAAAACTAAAAACCAAAACCAAAAACTAAAACTAAAACCGACATCACCAGACACAACCAAAACAAAAACCAAACACCAAAACCAAAAACCAAGAAAACAATATCAAAAACCAGAAACGAAACCAAATCCAAAACCGTAGCAACTATTTTTGTACAGCTTTTACAATGATCAAACCCAAACGAAGACGTCTCCCATTGATGAAATGCGACGTTGCTTCCTGCACCGTTTTCTTTACTTTCCATATTGCGCTCCTGGGCTGTTAAACAAGTATTTTGCATGCGCTGTAAAGGAGATCGCGCCATCTGAAAAAGTAAAAAAACCTTGCTATTCGCCAAAAACATTGTGCGAAGACCTCGTAAATTTCATTATTGATCCGTTCCGGTGCGATTGTGACCCACATGTATTTCTCCTGTGTATAATGAGATGCATGTCGTCCTGCAAGCGTCTCTATCCAATGCGCTTTCGTTTAGTATCATCATTCCCTCCTTCTCTCCCTCCTCCGTATCGTGGTTTTCCTCATTCGCCTCTCTCGCCTGGTCTCCGCTGCCGCCCCCTTGTCCGAGGCGCTTGTGGTTGTGCTTTTTCGTTAGGGCGCCTTCAGCGATCACAGCGAAATTCTTTCTGAGGCGACGTCTTTGGTCGCACCGAAAAATGCGGCTCCTTTGGTCGCATAAAAAAAACGAGCGAAACACACACACACACGCACACACGCACACACGCACGCACACACACACACACACACACACACACACGCGCACACACACACACACACACACACACGCACAAACACACGCACACACGCACGCATGCACGCACGCACGCACGCAAACATATACACACACACACGCACCACACACACACACACCCGCGCACACAGACACACACGACGCAGACACACGCACACGCACACACACACGCACACACACGACACGCACACGCACACGCACACACCACGCACACGCACACGCACGCACACACGCACGCACGCACGCACACGCACACGCACACGCACACGCACACGCACACGCACACGCACACGCACACGCACACGCACACCGCACACACACACACACGCACAAACACACACACACATACGCACACGCACACGCGCACACACACACACGCACACACGCACACACACACGCCCGCGCACGAACACACACACACACACACGCACACACACGCACGCACGCACGCACGCACACACACACACACGCACACACACACACGCACACACACACGCACGCACACGCACACACGCACGCGCACACACACACGCACGCACTCAAGGCGCAGGCGCTGCATCGCGCAGCATCTTCTCCCTGCGCGCAACGTTGCGCACCTCGTCCCACGAAGGCACCAGGCGGGGCCACTCCGGGCTCTCCGGAGGCTTTGGAAGCTGAGAGCTCGTGGGCGAGTCGCCCTGCCTCTGGCGCCGCGGTGGCAGCGCGCGCAGAATCCGCCACGCTCCGTGCGCGGAGTTAAGATGGCTTTCGTTTTCGTTGTATTTCTCCTCCTCCCCTCCTCCTCCTCGTTCGGCCCATCTCCCCGCTTCCCAAATCTCTCTACGTTTCTTGCCTCACCTCTCCCCTCTGCCCATCGATGCTTTCACTGTTCCCCTTGTTTTCCTCCTCCTTCTCCTCCTCCTCCTCCTTCCCCTCCTTCTCCTTCTTTTTTTTGAAGAGGGCGGAACAGCGCGAGCTGTATGGGGTAGTAGGGTCTACGAAAAACGCGCAAACGAAAGTCTTCTGGCTCACCGAGGGAAACGGATCGACCTCCGCCCCCCAGGAGTCCCAGCACCGAATCGTGCTCGTGGAGGTATCCCAACGCACGGCCGACAACGCGTGCGTCGGGTAGTTCCCCCCGTCTGCGGGAGGCGGCCCCTGCTTCGCCACCACGACGACCGGGTTCCACCCAGCTGCCTTCTGGACCGCCCACCCCGCCCTGTGGAAGTCCGTCGTCATGCGGACGTCGAAGCCGATCTCGAAGAGTCGGTCTGCTGTCTGAAGCCGCAGCGGCACTATCGAGCGCATTACTGCGTCGGGCCACGCTGCGTCGAGGTCAACTTTGTCCAGGGCTTGGAAGTGCACCCTGGTGGCGTCCCAGAAGAGGTCGAACTTCGCCGCCACGCACGACGACACAGTCGTGGAGAGGGCGTGTAGGGAGCAGAGTCTGAACTGCCCCTGGTCGGGCATCCTGAGGGACGCAAAAACACATACCAATACTTGCTTGTCGGCCCCGCAGGATCCGCGCCTTCGCCGACAAATCTTATGGCATAAGATATGTGGCATGAACTTTCTGGGCATGCCGCCCAGAAAAAAACTTCTACTGTAAGATGTGGATGTTACCTTTTAAGTTGGACGCGCGTCTCCATTGGGGCCATATAGTATAAGTATGTATTTCTGCGTCCGAACCTGTGGAGCTGCGGCGGCGCCCGGCTGGCAAGCTCGTGTAGGGCGTTCTCGTCGCCGGCCTTGGGCTCGACGACTGCGTGCTGCGCCCGGCTGTCAGTCGGAGTGCCGCCGCCCTCGGCAGGCCTCGTCGCGGCCGCCTCGCGCGGCCGCGGCGCCTGGTCGCAGTGCTGCGCGCTCTCGCCCTCGGCTGCCTCGCGCTGGCCAGAGCGCGAGCGCTCCTGTGGGCGCGCCGCCTTCTTCGCCAGGTCCGCGCGCCAGGGGGCAGCGAGGTCGGGGCGCACCCGCGCTAGCCACTCGTCCTGCGAGGTTGACCCCGCGACCATAATTTTGCTTGCTTTCAGTCGTTCGAAACCGTTGTGTTCATGTCGCGTTTCGAAATCAACATTTTATTTTGGATTTTCTTTGTAAGTAAAGCGGTGGTATCTGTGGTGGATAATTCGGATCTGAGGGATTGTGAACAGTTGCGTGAATGAATATAGTCGTGGCGGCAGTCATATGCATTGCAAATACTATTTCGCGGCATAGACTTGCAATGCTTTTCGTTGCGGATTTGGTTGCGAAGCTGGGTAACGCACTCAGGGTTGCGCACTCGTGGTTTGATAGTTCAGATTTTGCTTTGTCTGTTACGTTGGCCGTCGTTGCGGGCATGGTTAAAGTTACGGTCGTCGTCATGGTGGTAAACTGTCAATTGGTTTTTGTCTTGGGGTGATCACCAGGTCTGGTCTTGTTCTTGTTGATTGTTGCGGATATGGCGCTGGTGCTGGCTGGTCGTTGTTATGTTTATGGCTGTGGCTTGGGTTGTGAGATGTGGTTATGACATGATTTAGTTTTGTTGTGAAGGTAAATGCTTATTGTTCCCTCGTTCAGGTTCTGGTTCTGGTTTTGTTTATGGCCGCGGTGTGCAAACTCAGAGTCCTGCTTCGAGCTCGGCTGCGCGAGCAGCCTGCGAAGCACCGCTCCACGACGGTGGCCAGTGGACGCTGCCGTCGCATCCGCGTCTTGGCACAGGACGCACATGCCAGGCGAGGACATCGGGGAACCCTTGCCGGCCGGTCCCCACTTGCAACCCTTGTTATCGCACACGGGCATCGCTGCTCGGCGCTGGTGGCGTGAGTCCTGGCAAGCGTTTGTTGTCGTTGAGTGGAGCTTGAAGTCAAAAATGGCTATGGGAAAAGCGGAACGAAAGATGCATAAGAGCAATAAGAATAAGAACGCCGAAAAACACTGTGACGTATGCGATGACGAAGGACGCGAAGAGCATGAAGCTCGTCCTCCACCTCCTTCTCTTGCTTCCCTCCTTCATCGTTCCTTTCATTGCCTTTCTTCCTTTGGTCATCCGTCCTTCAAGTACGGATGCACAACACTCTTCCTCCTCCTACACATTCTCTCATCTTCTCTCATGTCCTCATCCTCCATATTTTCCGTTCGCCCTTCTCGTTTTCCCCTTCCTCCTCGCCCCATGGTCGGAGCGGATGGGAGAAAGAAGAGGCGAAGCATAAATGAGAAAGAGAACGATAGGGGGAGAATGGGGGAAGCAAAGATATCCATAATCATTTGATATTGCATACGATGGAAGGATGCGGAGAAAAGTAACACTGGAGAGGGGGAGGAGGAAGAGCGAGGAGGGAGTCGTCGTCGTCGTCGTCGTCGTCGTCGTCGTCGTCGTCGTCGTCGCCGTCGTCGTCGTCGTCGTCGTCGTCGTCGTCGTCGTCGTCGTCGTGGTCATCATCATCATCATCACCATTATCATCATCATCATGATAATCATCACAATCACCGTCATCATCGTCGTCATCATCATCATCATACTCATCATAATCATTATCATCATCATCATCATCATCATCACCGTCATCACCGTAATCACCATCATCACCGTGATCACTACCATGATCATCATCGGTATCATCATCGGTATCATCATCATCATCATCATCATCAGCAGCATCATCATCATCGTCGTCATCATCATTATCATAATCGTACTCGCACTCGTAATCGTACTCATTATTACACTCATCATAGATTATTGAGAGGGGGTAGCTTAGGAGGAGGAGTAGGAGGATAAGCCTGGAAAGGATGAGCGTGATGAGGGAGGATTTTCAATGCGAGAGTAAGGAAAGAAGCAATCACGGCCATTCAACACGGAGTGCTGGAGGGGGGTGTGGGCATATATATATATATATATATATATATATATCCCCAGCGCCAATATCTCCAACCTCCACCAGCAACAACACGCGCAGTCAACGGGCCCACCTGCGCACAACTGAATGTGCATCGACCAGGCTGTACAGACAGCGCCTCGGCCAAAATCCAAAATGGCACTATACAGGGCACGAAGAAGTGCAGGATTGGCTGGCGAGAGAAACAGACAGTGGGAGTCCGAACTCCGTGAATGACCACGTAAACAAACCCCCGACAAGAGCAAGAGGACAAAAGGAGGAGGAGAGGAGGACGGGGAACGAGAGGGGGGGAGCGACAGCCGGACGGACGTCCGCAGAAGAAGAAAATCTCGTGCGTGCGTAGACCACACCCCCGAGCATTGTCGGAGGAGGTACCCGCACAGAAACCCACACGAGCCTAAAGGACAAGCGAACACGAAGAAGTGAAGGCAGGGTGTGCACAACAAAACCGGCCCGGGTCCTATCATGTAGGGTCGGGCACGGCTGGGCGCGCACACCTGTGGTGCGGGTGGCCTCTAAAAAAAAACTACGTGGGAATGGAGCTAGAAAGAACGCCGGGGGAGGCGTAGAGCGCCGGCCACCCAAGGAGCAACCCGCCCGGCCCCAGAGCACGTGCAAGGGGAACGAGAAAGCAAGGGGACAGGAGAGGAGGGCAACAGAAAGGCGCGCGGACATCAGGCCCTCCGCGAGCAACTACATCACCATACGGGGAGGGCGAGAAGGAGACCCGCAGAGGACGCCGAGAAGAGACCACAGGAATAGAGAGGCCCTCAGCACTCGTCGAATATGGCATCAGCTGGGCATCATAGTCGTGCCGCTCATTGTCGTCCTGCCCTTGGTACTCGAACCATTCTTCGAACTCGTGGTGTCTGTAATATCCCAACAGCACAAAATTCAGCAACATGACGGGCTCCTGCAGTATGATTGAGTGGTGCTCGACTACCTGGAGGCGTTGCTGCTGGCGTCGGTGCTGCCGTCGGCGCTGGCGGAGGCGACGGCGTTGGCGTCAGTGATGGCATTGGCGCTGGTGTAGGCGCTGACGTTGTGGCCGGCGCGGGCGCCGGCGTTCGTACTGGCGTCGGTGAAGGCGTCGGCGCTGGCGTAAGCGCTGGAGTTGGTACCTCCGTAGGCGCAGGCGTTGATGCTGGCGTCGGTGCTGGCGTCGGCGCTGGATTAGGCGCTGGCGATAGGTCTGGCGTCGGTGCTGGCTTCGGTGCTGGTGTAGGTGCTGGCGATGGTGTTGGCGTAGGCGCCGGCGTTGTTGGTGGCGTCGATATATGTATATATGTATATATACATATATATATACAAGACTGCACTGGCGCTGCGCGCCATGCACCTTGGTCCTTGAGTTTCGCAAGCTAGCGGAGTGCGTGCGTGCGTACATGCGCGCGCACCTGCGCCCATACGTACACGTTGCATTTATGAATGTGAACGTACGCGTGCAAGGGTATGTACACGTATACGCAAATCGTTTGCGCAGCCCTGGGCGCGCATGCACATGCGCATCTCGGAAGGTCTGCAAGAATGTCTCAGGCGAAGAAAGCGGGAACACTATGGAGCAATGCACTTCCGCAGTCGGAGTTGCGAGGAAATCCAAAGCGAAGCGGGTTCGACTACTGCTTCTTCCTCATCCTTTTCCCTTTGCTTCGTTTGCTAGCTGGGTGGTAATCGTTACTTCTCCTCCGCGCTCCTTTATCTGCTCCTCGTTCTATTTGTCCTCGTATTCTTCTGTGCCCGTTTCTTTCCCCCCTTCCTCCTGCTTCTCCTCCTCTCCTCCTCAGTCCTGTGCCGATTGAGCTGAACCGGAAGAGCTGAAGAGGATGAGGAGAAGGAGGAGGAGGAGGAGGAGGAGGAGGAGGAGGAGGAGGATGAAGACGAGGAAGAGGATGGGGACGACGACAACGACGACGACGAAGAAGGCGACGACAAAGAGAAGGGATAATGAGAGGGGGAGACCGCTGTGTTGGGATCTCGTGGTACGCCTCTCGGGGGCCTCTGGGAGGCAGTTTTGAAGCCTCTTGGGGACTGTTTGTGGGCCTCTTGGGATCTTTCTGGGACCTCTTGGGGGCTCCTTGGGGCCTCTGGGGAGCCTCTTGGGGCCTCATGGGGCCCTCTTGGGGCCTCTCGGGGACCGCTCGCGGCGGAAAACTTAAGTTTTTAATTTTTGGGCGCCCTCTTGGGTCTCTCTTGGGGCCGTCTTGGTGCTCTCTTGAGCCGCCTTGGGCGCCTCTTGGGCGGTCTTGGAGCCCTCCTGGACCGTGTTGGGGCCTTCTTGGGGGCCTCTTGGGCAGTACTGGGGCGATCTAGGGAGCCTCTTGGGCCGTGTTGGAGCGTGGGGAAGCAGAAAAAGCGAGAAGGCCAAAAACATAGAAAAAACACACAGGAAAATCAACCATTTCAGCCTCTCGGGGCTCTCTTGGGAGGCCTCTTGGGGGTTTCTTGGGGCGTCTTGGAGGCCTCTTGGGCAGTCTTGGGCCCATATTGGGCGTCTTGGGCCGATCTTTGGGTGTCTCGGGGCCCTCTTCGGCCGTCGTGGGGGCTTGTTTTTTCGCGTCGGACTCGCAGGATAGACCTGCCTGGGGGGTCCAGGAGGACCGGAGATCCACGGAAGCACTCTGCAGGAGCGCCCCAGAGGCTCGGGGAGGCCGAAATTCGTTTTGGGGTGGGGGCACCGTGTGCCGTTTTTCTGGGGTCCCCGGCCCTGTAAAAATATATAAATAAGTGTATATATATAGAGAGAGAGAGAGAGAGAAAAAAAAAAGAGAGAGACAGACAGAGAAAGAGAAACAGAGAACAACGAAACAAAGAAAGCGATACATAGACATACATATATATATATATATATAGGTATATACATATATAAACAAACAAGCGAAACACAACCATTAAACTTTGACGGTCCGCGCGGACTTCTTGGATCTGCGCTTGACTCCCCTCGGCTGCGCCTCTGGCGCCGCCCTTTGCGCGCTCCTCGCACCCAGGAGAGGGGGTCCAATGCGGATCTAAGAAATCGACGCGGACTGTCAAAAATTATGTATATGCCGTCTCCCTCCTTCGGGGAGCAGGCTCGCCGGGAGAGGGCAGGAGGCGGGCCAGCGAGCAAAAGCAGGGAGAGAGACTGACGTCCATCCCACCACTACATACGTCAACACAAGCTGAACGGATAGAAGCGCACTGCACAAGCGAGACACGCGTACCTGGGCGTGCTGGTGCATCCTGGGTGAGCACGGAGCACAAAGGCGACGCAGGAGGGGGGGCGGTGGGGGGGGGAGAGGACGAGGGCGGAGGAGGACCGAAGCGGTGGAGGAGGGAGGAAGGAGTAGGAGTGAGGGGGAAGGGGGAGGAGGAGGAGGAGGAGGAGGAGGAGGAGGAGGAGGAGGAGGGAGGCCCCAGCATCGGTGCGTCGAGGTGGAGGTTCCAAACACCCCACCAAACCCCCCGAGCGCGGGATGGTCTGGCGAGGCGGGGGGGGGTCCTCCTCCTCTGTTCCTTTTTCTTATGAACAACTCCTCACTGTCGCACCCCGAGGCCAGAGGGAATGGCAGGCCGGGCCGAGGCCAGAGGGAATGGCGGGCCGGGCGTTGCGCCTTAGACCTCCTCACCGTTTACGATCCCGAGGCTTACACATGGATCCTCACAGTTTCACGGAATCTCACAGCTTCACGGATGGAGGGCGGGTCGCTTTCAAACTATGGACCTTGCCTTAGCGCCGCGTACACCCGTCTGAAAAACTCGCAAGCGTTTCGCGGATTGGGGACAAGTCGGTTTC